AGAGGGACCGGGAAGCGTCTGGGCAACAAAGAGCATCGTGTCGTCGGAGGGACCAACCGAAAGGCAGGGAAGGGGTTTGCTCTCAGTTATGACAGTTTGACTGCTAGTCACGGACACTCGACTCAACTTGCAGATGCAGACAGGGAATTCGTAGAAGGGTGACCGTGGGGGGCCCGAGCGCAGGCCAGGAGCAGCTGATCACAGGTACGCCCGCCACTGGACTCTGCTCTCAGCCCTGCTCTCTGCTCCTCTCTGGGGCTGGACGCTGCTCTCCTTCCCCTCCCGCTCCCCACTGCCCTGGTCCACAGCCAGAAGACGCAGCCGTCGGCAATCCGAGAACGTCTCATCCTTCAGTCCAGGACGTGGGCGGGCGGCGGCGGTCACAGCTCCACACTCCTGAGGAAGGAGTCTGACTGGCCTTCCTGGGCCTGGTACCCTTCCGGGTCAGAGGTCAGGACCAGGCTGTCCCAGGGGCAGGCGTTTAGGCAGGGGGCGGGCAGTTCAGAGACTACCCCCTCTCCCCTACTCCTGGCCCCTGGGAGGAGGCCGGCAAACAGCCTGCCAGGCCAGGTGGGCTAGGATCCCATCAGCCGAGGTTATGCGGCGGCGTCGGAGCAGAGGGGATGTGGTACGTCCTGGTTGGTGGTCACAGTCACAGTAAAGATCACGGGAATAGCTCTGAGGGCTGCGCATGTTTACCGTGATTTAATCCTCCTGCACTGGAGGGGGAGCTGTGACCGTGTCTGTTTTGCAGATGGTGGCAGGGGGTGGCTACATAGCCTGATCGTGGTCAACCAGTCCCCTGACCAGGCTCTGGTTTGGGCTCCTGATCCTTCACCTGCCTGCTTACCTGTCACAGGTAAGGACTGTGCAGTGCGTCTGGGGAAGCCCCCTGTCCCCGGACCTGCCTCATCGACGCTGTGTCGGTGTGAGCAGGGCTCTCCGGGCCCAGGGGAGCAGAAAGGAAGAGGCGCCAGAGGGCTGGATCCCAGAGCTGGTGGGTGAGGATCTTGAGTCTGCACGCCGCCCGCCCTCCCCTGAGTCTTCAGGCCTCGAAGGACTGGGGCAGGCGGCTCTCCCTGGAGGCAAACTGGGGGCAGCGGTCAGGGAAATCGATGCATCTATACCCACAGCTGGATCTGTATCTGCCTCTGTGTCTATACAGATACAGACACAAAGACACACAGAGAGAGACAGAGGGAATTATTTTAAAAACTGGCTCGTGCAATAGTGGATGCTGGCAAGTCCAAACTCTGCAGGCTGGAGACCCAGGAAGGGTGATGCTGCGGCTCGAGTCCGAAGACAGTCTGGGAGCAGAACTCCTCCCTCCTGTTTCCGCTTCCGGCTGATCGCGTGAGGTCCACCCGCATCAGGGAGGGCAAGCTGCTTTACTCAAAATCCACTGGTTTAAGGTTAATCTCATCTGAAAAATATCTTCACGGTGACAACACCTTGCCAATCCTTAAAAATTAAGTTTTCAAGAAATTATGAGGCCAGTGAAATATCCCCCTTTCCAAAAAGTGAACCACCTCATCTTATGTCACACAACACAGGGGATTTCTACCATTTATGTGCATGTTTGTTATTACATTTCAAAAATGTAAAGTTTCCTTCTGAATGACATCATTGGGGTGAGGGAACGGACCACTAAAGGTGGTCATCTCACTGGAAATATTGGTATATTTTCCTTTTGCTTGCTTGCATGATGCTGAAGAATCTGACAGCAAACCACAGACACCATGCCACTCCTCCCCGAAATATCTCTGTGTGCCTCTCTAAAAACACAAGCATTTCCTCACAACCAAATAACATCATCGCGCTTCACAAGATCAAGACGAATTCTTTCATGATGTCTAATTCCAGTTCATGCTCCGATTTCCCAAACTGCCCGAGAACATGGTCTATGGCCGGCTTCTCCTGCAGCGGATTCAACCCTGGGACCACAGACCCTGGAGCACGAGGCTTCTCCACGACGCTGACAAGCTGGAGGGGTCGGTGGTCCTGCAGGCCGCCCCCCGCGCTGGGGGTTCGCCTGCTCGCTGGCTTTGCAATTCCCTGTCACTCCTGCAGCTGGAGTTTGATCTGAAGGCCTGTTAGATTCAAGTTAACTATTTTGGGGCAAGAGGGCCCTGCAGCCGATGCCAGTTCGCCGAACTGATCACAGACGGAGACACGAGATCCAGCTGTCGCCCTGTAAGTGGGGCCAAGACCGACTTCAGGGTCACAGTTCCAGCCACGATTTCAGAGGAGAGCATTGAAATTGGCTGCATGACTTACAGCGAAAAAAACCCTGGGTGCCTTCCTTTGCAAAGAAAAACTCACAAAATCAAAGAACTAGCCGTTCGAAGCTGCAGCAAGGAGGGTCAGTAAGCCTCGTAAACGGCCCATTTCCCCCGTAAACGGCCCATTTCCCAGCCTCTCCTGAAGAGAGTCAGCTGGGGTTTCACCCGAGAGGATCAGCAGGAAATCTCGGTCACGGTACCTGAATGTTACCGAGTGGACGCTGAGAAACCTTCCCACCGGCCTGCGCTCCCCCTCTCACCTCCACCCTGCTGACCGCCTTGGCTGGGGTCCCCCCTCACTGCTGGGGGTTCCAGACCTGAAGCCGCTGTTCCTGGTGAGTCCCCACCAGCCTGCTCCCTGCGCGGGGTGGTGCCAGCCATTGGTCAAGAAACGCGAGAGCCAGCATCGAAACGGCGAGACAGGCAGGCGGGAAAGCTGGCCTGGGCCCTGCTGTCATCTCCGCCCTCGTGAGCCTCATTGCTGTCACCTCCCAGCTTGGAGTGGGTTGCGCAACCCCCAGGCGGGCTCTGCTGCTGGCTGAGCCTCAGTTTCCCCGCAGGTGAGCAGGTGGGACACACGGGCTCGGGTGCTGGAGCTCCTTCTATCCACCGAGGCCGCCCCGTTCCCGGCAGTGTCCCCAACACTGCCCTCTACCGCCTCATGGGACCCCCATATCCACACCCACTGATGGTCCCATCCTTGTGCCCCCATGAGGAAACTGAGGCACAGAGTTGGACCCACACCCTCAGAGTGTGGGCCTGGTGAAAGCTCTTTTCACTGAAATATGTTTAGAACAAGAGGGCCTTTTCCTGTCTGGACAAAACGTGAAGGACCTGGCACTGAGCTGCTGGGCCATGACCAGCTGGCAGGCAACACCCACCATTTCTCTAAGCCACTGCTCACTCCCCTCACTTCCCCGAAATTACTGTCTCCACGTTGCTCCACAAACCCCATCTGGGATAGTGGAGCCCCAGCTGGTAACCCGGCCCGAGACGAGGCAGCCCCGGGCCTGAGGCCAGCACAGCGCACCCTCATACCCCACCCCAGGCTCACAGGGCGGGGCGAACAGAGACCGCCCAGACCCCTCCTCCGTGTGGGCCAGAGGGAACCAGGCTCTGCACCACGGCCGCCCACAGAAACCAAAGGCTCGTCCGCGGGCAGAGCCCTGACTTGCATCGTTTGCCCATTTCCCTGGCGTAAAGGCTCCCACATGGGCCATTCAAGCCAGCAGCACGTCACTCAACACGAGCTGGGAGAGTAGTGCACGTTGGGTTCTCATGAGTCACACACGCTAGGCGCAGTCGACCACTGTGGGCTGAAACACATGCGGGGCGGGGATGGGCCGGGCCTCACCAGCACCCACGGGGCCAGGGCCCCAGAAGACCTGAGTTCCTTGAGGACAAAAGCAGAGACCGGAGCCGATGAGATGTGGCGCGGCCGCCTGCACTTGACCTGCCATCTTCACCAACTTGAGTTTTGGCCGTGTTCTGGTTATTTATTGCTCTATAACAAACACCCCAAAACTTAGTGGCTAAAGCAAAGACAGTCCTCTTTTAGCTCGATTTGGGCAGGGTCAGCAGGGCCAGCTCGTCCCTTCTCCGTGGGCCATCTGCTACAGGGACCCCAAGCAGAGCTGGGGCTGGAACCCTCTGCAGGCTGAACTCACATTCGTGAGGATGGAAGTGCAAGCTGGAGGATGCACCAGCAGACCCTACAGGCAAGGCTGTGCTCGGCTCTGAGAGCCGTGGGCTCGGAAAGACAACTGCGGAGACCAGCAGGCTGACTTTCCCTTGTGTACCAGGAAGTCTGGGCCGGGCATCCATAGAGGCACAGCGCCCCACGATGCCACCAAGGACACAGAGTCTTTTGACTTTCTGTCCATATCCCGTGGGCCAGGCTGGTTCACGTGTCCCCCTGACTGCCGTGTGAACCAAGACATGTAGTTGTTTAGATGGGCACGTTGCTGGCCTTGAACTAAGCTGGTGGCATTCTGCAAACAGGCTGCAGAGGCCACAGCAGAGACACCATGGGGCCGGCCTCGGGGCCCAAGTTTGGCCAAGGGACGCTCCTGCGCAGGACTCTGGGTCACAGCAAGTGACCCAGAAGCAGGACATTCTGGGCACTGCTGTGGCGAGTGCCCAGGGGGCAGTGCCAGGGGCAGCGGCCTCCTCACCAGGCTACCTTCTGGGCCTCTCTGAACCCTACTCACGTCCAGGTCTCCTTCTCTGGCCTTTCTGCCGATCCCAGAGCCCCATGGAAGGGGTTCAGAATTCACCTCCACTGTTTGCAATCAGCAAGCCTGAGCGGTACAGCAGTTACGGTTCAAAAAGGAAAAACAAAGTAGGAAGATGCTTAGGCGACAAGACTCTGCTGCAGAGAAGTGGCAGGCAGAGAGATGCCTGGGAGGGGCCGTTCTGGGCCGCGTCAGGACCAGGACAGAGAAGAGGAGAAGGTGGGTGTCCTCTCGCCCCCTGCAGGGGCTGCCCATGGAGCCCCTGGGCCCCTGAGGGGTTGGCCTCAGCATGGTCTTCTCGGCTCCCCTACTCCACAAGCCTCGGCCTGTGGCTCTGCCTGGGTCCAGCCACGAGAGCCCAGGCTCCTGGACGCCACTCTGGCCCTGCTTTCCCAAAGGGTAGGTGGGCAGATCTCGGGGGCCCTGGGGGTCCATGCAGGCTCCACCTTACCAGGTAATTCCTGCTCGGCCCAGCAAACGGGTGTGAGTTCTTCCCATTTACTTATTTATTTTTATTCTGGTAAAATACACAGCACATAAAATTTACCATTTTAATCACTTTCAAATGCACAATTCAGTGGCACGAAGTCATTCACGGCATGGTGCAGCACTCATCGCTACCTAGTTCCAGCACCTTTCATCTGGGTGCACAGTGCCCCCCAGATTCAGGTCCTTGAGGAAGTATCTGGTGAAAGTTGTCGTGGGTCTCAGCCAAAGGCCATAGGAGCCACGGGAAGTCCCTGCTGGACACCCCCAGTGACCAGGCCACCACAGGTCGTCCGTTTCCTCCGGGCAAGCCCCAGCTGTGTTTACTTTCTCCTCACCGGCACCTGGGGAAAGTCCACACCCGGCACGTCAAGATCAGCTTTCAGGAGAACATTCCACCCCCTGCAAACCTTGGACACAGCGAGGAAGCGAGCATGACCTTTCCCCAGGTCTGAAGGTCCCCGAGTGTGTGCTCCTTGGTAGGGGAAAAAGGAAGATGTCTGCCCTGCTCTTGACCTTGGGCATTAGGGGCCAGCAGGTCACCTCCCCAGGCATTCCTGGGCATCCTGGCTGGCACCTGTCTTGGAGGGGGTGCTGACAGGGGCCCCAGGGACCGCCTCCAGTTAAGCAGTGCTGGTTCCCACCAAGACACCGGCACAAAGGCTGTGGTCCTCCCACCTTCCCCAGCACCAGCCGCCTTGGCACATCTAGATGGCTGGGCCCCAGGATAGGGTCCCACTACAGATGCCTCCCTCCGGGAGAGGAATCTGCAACTGCAGTGTCTCTGACCTGGGCGTGCACACACACACACGCAAATACGAGTGCACGTGTACATGGGCATCAAAGCCCACAGTGTGGCCGAGAGCACAGAGGTCAGGGAGCCCTGTTCATGCACCTCCGGCTGCTGCCCTCCCCGCACAGAGCCAGACGGGCGGAGGGGCGGGGCGGGGGCGTTTCGGTTTCTCTTTTGTCCACACCAAGACTCTTGTCCCACAATCTTTCCGTCCATGAAAATGACTGGAGATGCAATTAACCAAGTCCCGCTCTCCTCAACCCCCTTCACGTCTGCCAGCCTCGCTTTCTTATTCAAAGTTTTCCATTTCTACAGGAAACCCAAATGAAGGTCGAGTCCCCCGTGGGGGGCCCGGGCCTTGCTCAGCGTGGGCTCCCTGCTTTGTGAGCTCAGCCTGGGCCCCTCATCTCTCTGAAGGTTGGGCTCTTCATCGGTACCATGTGGTGACATGGCATATGCTTTACAAGGTTCTCCAGGGGACCCCGGAGGCCACCTAGGAGGAGGCTGGGTGACCCAGGAAGGTGTCATGCCCCACCTCCCACCAGCTTCTGACCGACGAAGCAGGGGATACATTCCTGGCCTGAAACTTGAGGCTGTTAGGGGGCTGTCTGCTCGGCTGCCCTCTGCCACGGACTTGACACCCTCTTTCCCACGGGGCCAGGCAGCCACCTGTCTGCTAATACACCTTTACCCTCCCCTCATCCCGGTGCCAGGTTGCTGGGGCCCTGGATGCCTCGTCTCTGCATGGGGTGGGGTGGCAGCAGGCACACTCCACAGTGAGAAAGGGCTGGGGCTCCAGGGGCAGGAGCCATGCTGGTCAGTGTGGGTGGAGCGCTACAGGCCTGCTGTCCACCTGAACCAATGCCTATCCAGCGACCAGAGTTTGCAGGTGCTACTGGAGGAAACTGAGGCCTGGCCAGGTGGAGGGGTCAGCCTGCACCCACGGCCAGCAAGAGACTGACCCCAGCCCGGGTTCTGAGCGCTTTTCCCTGTCACAACCTGCCTTCCATCCTCACGGGCCAACAGTGCAGGGGTGTGGCCCATGCCTGCCCACATATCACCCTCGGCACCCACCGCTCTGGGCTGGCTGAGAGCTGGGGCGCCCAAGGGAGCCGGCCTGGAGCTGTTTCACTTGGCAGGACATCACTCTCCGCCCCCAGCTTAGTGCCAGCCAGAAGGTTCTGCAAGACCAGCTCACTTCCTCCCAGCCGGCCCGTCTCAGGCTCGGGCTCCCACACGGAGAAACGGAAAGTCAGGGCAAGTCCCGAGGCCACTTCCCAGGAAAGCCCCGACGGAGTCCCACTCCCTCCGACATTTTCACTTTAGCCCCAGGAGGAAAGGGGATTTCTTTCTCCAACAGGCAACACTGCTGTCACATGTCCCAGTCCAGCCCTGCTGGCCGTCACCAGCTTGTCCTATAGCCATGGAGCCGTAACGCCTCCAGGGAGAGGGCACCCGTGATGGACGGGTTGCACGGAGCGGGGGTGAGGAGGCACCCACCCAGGCCAGCGCCCAGCGCACCCCATGACTGGGGGGACACTAAAACACTCCAGCACAAAACCCTCTTCCCTGACAGCTTGCCTCGTGCCTTTCCAGGCCCTCCTGGGTGTGATGGGGTCCGTATGTGGGATATGTACGTACCTGAGTAGGGCAGCGGGGCCACCTGAGCAGGGCCTGAGCCCCTTCCAGGGACCAGGGCCACTGCAGGAAGGAGACTAGTTAGGTTTGGAGTGAGAGGAAGGTGAAGTTCCGGAACAGGAGGGCATCCTGGGCTCTGGCCAGGATGGGGGCCTACGGGGACCCTGGTGGGGGACAGCAGCCTGGAGGAGCTGGACCCGGTCGCAGGAGAGGTGCTCGGCCCCTCCTCCTCTCATCAGCCGGTGCCCTGGTCTCATGGTGTCTCCTGGGCCTCAGCTTCCCCACAGGGCCTTATAGGACCACCTGGTCCCAGCCCCTAAATCCAGCTTTCCAAGACCCGCGATGGCCCATGTCCCCCTCTCCCGTCGCCTGACTTCCTTTTTCTTTTGTCCTTGCTGTCTCTCCTGAACCCCGAAGAGGTCTGTACTATCGTTCACTGACTTTCATCCTACGTGCCTAGGCGCACCCACTCTGTGCCAGACCCCCCGCAAGCCTTGGGGGTCTGGTGTGACCCTGACACTGAGAAGTGGGACAGGGAAGCCCCACTCAGCAGGTGATGTTGGAGGAGGGACCTGTGGAGCAGAGGGAGCTGACCTGAGCACATCATGGGAGTGAGCTCTCCAGGCAGCAGAAACAGCCAGTGCAAAGGCCCTGGGGCAGAGGTGCTTGGACAGAGCAGAGCAGCTAAGCTCAGAGTCAAGGCAGGGCAGACGTGGCCTGGTAAGACAGTGCTTTGAGGGTGTGAGCTGGCAGAGCAAGATCTGACTCCCAGCTCCTCTGACACGGGCAGGTGTCCCCTTAGGGCCCTGGCCCGGCCAGCACTCACCCTTGCTGCTGGGCTGACCTGGATGACTCCACTTTCACACGGGGTTTCCCCGGCAGCTGTCCCTGTGGCAAGGAGCCTGACCAGGAAAGTCCCAGACCACAGTCGATGAGGAAAAGTTGGCTCCAGGCCAGGCCTGGCCAGGCAGTGAAGCCCTGCAGGAGCTGCCGAGGCCATGGGGTTCTGGCTCCGGCTCATCCCAGGCACAGGGAACGTGGGGCCTGTCAGTCCCCCACAACACCCGCAGGGACCACAGGGCCCAGTCACTCCTCTGAGGTGGACCGGCCTCCTCTGCGCCGTGCTCATCGCCCTGCCTCTGTGCTGCCCGGCCCTCTGCTGTGTGGTGACGTGCAGGGACGTGGGGGTGGTCCACGGTCCACGGGTGGGGGTGGAGAAGTCTGGAGGGGAGGGAGCCACAGCCGCATGTGGCCAGAGAAGGGCACATTGTGGAGGCGTCCCAGGGCAGCTGAGGGGGCCAGCGAGGGAGCTGCACCCTGACCTGATTCAGAATTGACAGACCGGAGATGATGAGAGCAGATCCCTTCTGGTCCATTCCATGATGGTGTTCAAATTCTCTACGGTGCTCTCACACCAGGTCCTGCCCGACCCGTGCACCCCCGGAAGGCTGAGTGAGTGGACTGTGGCTGTCCCAGCCTGTGATGGCAAGGCGGGAGGTGCGGCCGAGGTGGGGAGCCGGGCGATGGACAGAGTCGGGGCCGTGTGGCAGTGCTCCAGAACTCCAGAAAAGGGGGCACAGCGCAGGTCATGCCCAGACACAGACGGCTGCGTGTTCCTGCGTCCCCGCCGGCCTGAGGATTCCAGAGGGAGCACACAGTGGCCGGGGGACTGTGGGTGGGACACAGGTGAGGAACACAGGATCCAGGGCCTCCGTCGACTTCCCACTGTCATGTTCTCGTCGCTGTGAGACAGGCCTGCCCTGGGGTGGGGTCACAGTCCTGAAGGGAGCTCAGGGTCTGAGGAGAGAAGGGGAGGAGGGGGCACCTGGGGCCTGCAGGGCATGGAGAGGGTGCAGGGGCACTGACCCCAAGGGGGCATGGAGGAGAGGAGAGCCACAAGATCCAGGGAGCTTGGGGGCGGAGGGCAGCGCGCCCAGGCTCGGGGAGAGAAAGCCTGGGACACCGTCACCCCTGCAGATGCCGTCATCTTGAGGGGCTTAGTTAACACCCCCATAGGCTGTCCCATTGGCCGGTCCACTGACACTCAGTCTGCCCCCTTCTCTGTGGAAAGCATGTACCTCTGAGTTCCTTGCTGGCCAGCCTGCCGGCTGGAGGCTGCCCGACTTCCCGTGTGCCTCCTCTTTCCTGGTTCCATCATCCTGCTATAGTGGACTGACACCCCTCTCGCTCTGGTCCCTGTGCTGGGGATCAGGGTCCCTCTAGAAATGTGGAGCCCACATGGAACACACCTAGGTTCTCCTGAGGTGACCCCACTCACCAGAGCCCACTCAACGACGGGCACTCACTCAACACCCTCCTTCTGGGCCCTGGACCCTCGGGGTCCTCTCTGGCCACCCACCCACATGCCCACCCTGCTTGGGGCCAAGCCCCCACTCCTACCCAGGGGCCAGCTCTCTCCTCGTTGCTTCTTCCAGGAAGACTCTGAAATTGGTGTCTCAGCCTGTGGATGGGCTGTGCCTCAACAAAGGTTCCCAGGTCATCTCAGACACACCGTAGTGAGAGCCAAACTCCCAGCATCCCTCTGGATCAGCATCAGCACCCCAGCCCCTGCCTCCTGCCGGCCGGTCTCAGCCCCGCTGACCTGCTGGCCCACTCTGCCCACCCCTCACCTTGGCTGCCCTCCACAGGCGGCCAGGTGACCCTCTAGATGCCATTTCACCACGCCCCTCCCTGCTCTGACTCCTGGGGCTCCCCAGTGCCACCAGGTTGAGCTCTAAGCCCCCTTGTTCAAGTCCCATGACCTTCCTGTGCTCACCTCCAACAGACTCCCGGCCCCCAGGACGGCTCTGCTGCCTGTCGTCTGTCTGTCTCCCTCCTGCCTGTGTCCTTAGCTCCGTCTGCACCTGGCTGGGTGTGCCCTTGGCATGGGGTGGCGTCCTCTTGCGGGCAGTGGTGGTGGACACCTGCCACGTCTGGATTTGAGCAAAGCCTATCCCGTTCCTCGAAGGCCACTTCCTGACAGCCCAGCCGTGTCCTCACGTGCCAGAGTCCACGGCCTGATGCCTTCCGTGCCCCTCGCCTGCGTCACTCTCCTAACTGGCCATCAAGCCCCAAGCACCTCAGGAGAAGGAGCTTCTCAATTCGCCTTATTTCACAGGTGGGGAGGATGAGGCCCAGAGAGGGCAGCTTGCTCCAGGCCACACAGTGCGGAGGACGGAGCTCATTCAGAGCGAAGCGGCCCTGCTCGGCCCCCCAGGGACTGTGTGCAGCTTGCGGGGAGTAAGCACAAGCCACTGGCCTGCTCCTGCTGACACGAAACCAGGTCGGGTTCCCCAGAGGCAGGTGGCTGGCACTGGATGGGCAGCTGGGGGACAAGGACATGCTGCCATAGGATGCTGGCTTGATGCGGGCAGGAGGACGGAAGCCCAGGGCACTGTCTGGGTCTGCCGCATCCCGAGGGTGAACCCCGCAGGGACCCCAAGCGGCCACAGGAACACTCCGTGCGGGCAGGGCCGGCTGCATGCGCCGGAACAGCCCACTGGTCCACAGAGCCAGGCGAGACACGCTTGGGTGGCGGCATGGTCACTTGCCCCGTGCGACCAGGCATTGGAGCATCACATGAGAGCACAGAAAAGGCACCAGGAGGGGACACGGGCTGAGACCCCACGCGGCGGAGCCCCTCTCTTATCTGGGGTGGGGGCCGCGTGTGGTACAGTACCTTAAAACACTTAAATTTTCAAAATATTTTCAAGATTTGAAAGAAAAAAGTCTACGTGCAGAGTGTTATTTTTGGTATTTCGAGGAAACGGTTAAATTTCAAATATTTTTCGTTTTGATTATGCGCCCCTTCAGGGAGGAGAATCCTTGCAGGCGGCTTCCGAACGTGGTTCCGGCTGATGCTCTTCAGCTGGCCTGCGCTGCGCACCAAGGACGCAGGGAAATCGCAGGCTCCCCCGGCGCCTGGGGCTGAGGCTGACATTGCGAAACCGAGTCTTGTGGGACAAAGCAACTGAGTAATAGAGTGAAGTTCTTAGAAACCGAGAGTTTCAGTTTAAGAAGAGCCTTCCTAACGCTGCGTCTAAAAGGGAAACGGTGTCCTCGTTCGTTTTTGTGTACGTTTCCTATGTATTCTATAATCTAGGCTGGTCTCATGGAACAGCTCAGAGAATGACACCAGCAGCATCTGACCATGCCGGGGTCTTGGTTCTGAGATCCCGTTCCTGACCAGAAGGCACTGGGGCAAGGGCCCATCCCAAGCCCGAGACAGCGGAGCAGAGGGTGAGGCTGGAAGGAGGTGGCGCGTGGAGACGGGAACCAGTCAGAATGAAATCCCAGCAGCTGAATTTTGGACAATCTGAGTGGCAAACAGAATAATGGCTGTCACTCATCTTAACACTTTGAATGAACAGAAATGCATCAATCCAGAGATAGATTTTCTAAAAATCTAAAGCTGAAACTAAACAAAAAAAGTAGAAGAGACTGGGCCGAAGGGGAAATAGAGGGAGGTCTTCCTTTACAGAGCGTTGCCGTCCACGCAGAGGACCGAAGGGCGAGCAGCGTAATCTGCAGCCCCCAGCATGGTCACTGGCTTCTCCTGGGACCATCAGAGTGGTGGATGCCACCAGGAAGGGTTCCTGGGTGCGGGGGTATCCATCGGGACAAAGTGGGGCAACCCATGTCACTCAGGACTTGCCAAAGGGGAACCCCACCTGCACAGTGGAGGGTCCTAGATGCCCCTCGCCCAGCAGGCCGAAGTTGGGGGGCCCGATGTTGGCCACCTGCCTGCTGATGAGCAAGCACACAAGCCACCAAGGATCTGGCCGGAGACGTGCGACTCAGAGCTCAGCGGGTCTCCAGCCCAGGGTTCTCGGCCACAGAGCTGCTCACGTCAGGGGTGGGGTACCCCAGGGTGTGGGGGCGCCCCACACGTCGTAGGGTGTTAACAGCACCCCCCAGAGTGACAGCCACAAACATCTCTGGACGTTGGTAAACATCTCCTGGGGGCAAAGTTAAGGTTGGCAACGGCTACCACAGACCCTACCTCCAGCAAAGTGGGCGTCGTCAACAAAAGAGTCTGGACTGAGAGGCTGGGTGCGAACCAGTGGGGAGCCTGGCAGCCACTGGGATGGTTGGGGATGTTCAAAAGGGTGTGGAGAGCAGACAGGACTCTGGCACATCCTGAGGGTGGCGAGGGGACACTCTGCTCATCCCAGGAGAAGTCAGCTGATGTTGTTAGCACCCAAATGCCTGCAACTTGCTCCCAAAACGACACATGGACACGTACCACGCATGTCGACGTGGAGAGAGGTAAAGAAGGCACGTGAACCACTTCTCGGGGAGGGTGTGGGCGATCCTCCTGTTCTTCAAACTGGAAAATCCTGAACACTTTCCACAACACACACGCATTAGGATGGGAGTACCCAAAAACAAAAACAGAAACGACAAGAGTGGGTGAGGGTGTGGAGAAACTGGGTCCCTGTGCAAGGCTGGTGGGAATGTCACACAGCACAGCTGCTGTGGAGAACAGCATGGTGGCTCCTCAAAAATTAAAAATAGAATGATCACACGATCCAGAAATTCCACTTGTAAATATACACCCAAAAGAAGGGAAGCAGGGTCTCAAAGAGAGATTTGTACAGCAGCACTATTCACAAAGCCAGAAGTGGAAGTGAGCCAAGTGTCCACCGACCCACGAATGGTTAAGCAGAGGTGGTCCATCACACAATGGAATAGTACTCAGCCTGGAAAAGGACTGAAATTCTGACAATGCTGCAGCGTGGATGAATCTCAAGAACGTTACACTGAGATAAGCCAGTCACAAAATGACAAACACTGTGTGATTCCACTCATATGAGGTCCCTTGAGGAGTCAAATCTATAGAGACAGGAAGTAGAACGGTGGGTGCCAGGGGCTGGGGTCGGGGGGGGCAGTTAGTGTTCAATGCGGACAGAGTTTCAGTTTGGGAAGATGGAAAAGTTCTGGAGATGGACAATAGTGAAGGTTGCACAACAATGTGAATGTACTTAGTGCCACTGAACTGTACACCTAAAAATGGTCAAAAAGGTAAATTTTACATTGTGTACATTTTACCACAACTTAGGGAATACTGATTCAAAAAAGTTTTCACAACACCACATTGGGGAAAACTTGCAGTGTTCTGGACCACAGCTTCTGGCATTCAAGCTGACTTCTCTCTTGGACTCCAGGGTCCTTTCTGGAGAGAAATCCCAGCCACAATGCCCTGCCTGGGTGACCACACAAAGCGACCTGCGAACAGGAGGTCGGGGGGATCGGGTGAAAGAGGAACTGATGCCCTGGTTGCTCCTGTCCCTGGGCCACCAATGGTGGGGGACAGACGGACTTCCACTCTGTTCTCTGGAGGCTGAGAGCCGCCGGCTCCGTCGTCCTGAAATTTGGGCCCCACGGCCCACGAGCCTCCCAGCACTTCCTGAATGTCTTCTGAGACTGTGGCCTCAGACTTTCAGCTCTGAGAGGGACTGACACTGTGGCCTGGGACATGCGGAGCCAGCAGCCCCGAGTTCCGGGGTGTTCCGGGGTGTTCTGGGGGTTTCTCTCCACTTCTCTCCAGGGCAGCCTCGTGGTCCACCCCGCGGCCTGGTTTGGTGCAGCCTGTACGGACCCCTCTGTGGGGGTGACTTCAGGTCGGAAAACAGAAGTTCCAGAACCCCACATTCAAAGGCGCCCTGGTGGCCGGGCCCGGGTCAGGGGTCAGGGAGAGCGCGCTGCCCTCTGGATAACTCTTTTTATGGGCCAGGCTCTCTGCGGGGTCTGGACTTGGGAGAGTTTCTGGGCGCAGGTTTAGGCAGCAATAAAGGTCCCTGTCTGGCAACAGAGAAGGACAGCGTGCTGTCCAAGTTCAACACCCCAGGGACAGACAGGAGGTCTCGCGCTGACGTAGGCAGCGAGGACCCAGCCGGGACCGTGGGGAGGCGGAGGATGAGGTGGGGCCTGGACAACAGTTTGCCTGCCCCCACACTCATTCGGCCGTTATCACACGGAGAATGTGCTGAGAGCAATCAGGTCCCCCCCTGCCTGCCTGACCTGCGATGCCACCTGGAAACAGATGACGGAGCTGCCCTGTCCTGCTTGTTGCTGGTGGCATCCACTCAAGTCTCTCGTTCTGGGGTCAGGCCTTTCCATGACCAGGGCTGTGCTCCTGCTGGGAGTCAAGTCCTTCTGGCTGGTTCTAGAACGTACTGGAAGAGCCCCTCCCTTCTGGTGAATCCACGCGGCTCCTCCAGGGACACTGCACCCGAAGCCCGCCCTCGAGGTGCAGGTGGGCACCTTCCATCCTCCGCGTGGGGACAGGGGCTGCTCTGGGATGGGCTCCCAGCCTGGCTGTGTCATCCCATGTCTGCCTCCATCATAACGTGCTCTCCTCTCTCCCTGCGTGTTTCTTATAAAGGACACTTGTCACTGGATGGAGGGCCGACCCCGGCCATCCAGGATGAGCTCCTCTCAAGACCCTTAACTTAATCACATCCGGAAAAGCCCACTTCCAAAGAGCCACATTCTGTGGCTCCGGGTGGACGTACCTTGTGGGGCCACGGTTCAGCCCCCACAGGATTTGGGTACATTCCTCCCACAGAAAAGCAGGCACGCTAGGGTCACGCCCACTGTGGGACGCAAACACCAACCGGTCACACGAGGACCGTGCCCTGCACAGCAGCCTCCCTGGAGATGTGGGGTCTCTCAGCCCCCAGACAACAGCGCACAGCCGAGGGTACCTCACTCGGATGTTTATGATGCCACCCCTTTAGTTAGCTCTCAGGACAGCTCCCTGGGCGGGTCTCCAGGGACAGTATCTGCACACGATGCAGGAGAAAGCGGGTCAGAGGGGTCTGCGACCCTGTGAGGCGCGGCCCCCTCTGGGAGGTCTGCGCTGGGCCTGCGACCTCCTCCGATAAAGACGCCTGTTCAGCTCTGCTTTGCCTGCTTCCTCGTCTGCGCGCTAACATCCGCACGGGAAGGGCTGCCTGTCCGGGATGTGCTCCTGGACACCAGACCGATGCCCCACAGGAGGCCAGGCTTCGGAGTCGGCCTTTCTGGGCTGACCAAGCTCTCACCCAGCCCTGGGGCACCAGGAGGCCCTGGGTGTGAGATGAGGGACAGGACTAGAGACAGCAGCCAGACCAGCTCACAGCTCCTCAGAACCAGTGCCAACCACTGGGCTTGGGACAGACACTTAAGAAAGCACTTGGAGCCGCCTCAGCCCGCAGGCCGGAGCCCACAAGCAAGGATAACCCAGCCTTCCCTGGCACAGCCCGGAGGGAGCCTGCAGGAGAGCAGTGTTCTGACACTCGTTAGAATGGTGAGGAAGACTTTACCCAGGACCTCGGCGATCGGGGAGACAGGCCACCTCAGCTCCACGGACAGCGGGGACAGTGGGGGCCACGGCCACGGGCTGGGGGCGTGGTGGAACAGCACTGAGAGGAGACGTCATGCGGAGGGGGTTCTGGCTCCACCGACCCAAGAGGATCCTTGCTGAGGGCGGGCAGGTGATCTGACACCTCGGGGGGCACAGGGCGTGCGAGTTTGATCAGCTCTTGTGACCACACGTTGGGGGGGATTCTTTCCCACCTGACTCAGCAGGGTTCTTCCTACAGCCGGACTCCGCAGGGATGGGCTCGGGAGCTCCCACAGGAGGAGGGCGCAGAGGATCCTGGCTGGTGTGTGGTCAAGGAGAGGGCCTTTGTTCAGCCCCAGTCACTTGGTCAAGACATAAGGAGGAAGGGCCTGTTTAAAAGGCTGAGCACAGTGGGCAGAGTTGACGCTGGAATATGGAGGCGGTAGGGTGTGCGCAGGGCAGGGGGCTCCCAGGAAAAGGAAGCGGGACCTGTAGGCGGGGAGCGAGGAGCTGAGCCTTCCCTCAGTTGTTGGGCACCATGGTTTGCCGAAGCTTCCAGGAGAAAGTCTCACGGGAGGAGGTGACACTGAGGCCGAGGGCCTGGGGCAGCCACCTGGACCCCCGGAGCCCACAGGGAGCCCTCCAGCACTGAGCCCCTTGACGAACCACAGCACTGGGAGCGGTCTGACCTGCCTGACATCAGCAGTGAGGGCAGGGCTGTGACAGTGACTAGAGGCCTGGAGGTGGCCCTCGCCTGCCTGTGGGCCACCTGGCCCCTCCTGCCCTTGTCACCAAGGGCCCAGCCCACCTTCCCAGAAGCGCCTGCCTCCACTTACTGGCCAGTCGCCTGTTAAGAGAACGTCTAGTCAAGTGTGCCCAGAACCCGCTCCCTCTAGACTGCTACAAAGAAGGTGGGGACCCTCCACCTAAGAGGCACCGACCCCCAGGGCAGCCCACCGGGTGGTGGGAGAGGGGTAATGTGTGTGGGCACGCCCACTGCGAGCCCGGCCCCAGCAGAGCAGCCCAGGAGCGGGTCCAGGAGAAGGGCCTGTCTCTGCAAAAGCCCCCGGCCCAGGCTGTCGGGACTCTCCCGCCACGGCCCCGGGGACGCCCAGCCCCAGGCCCCACACTGGGAGGGCCACTCCTGGCCCATCACATGGGAAACATCACGAAAGAACGGCTCCCATGGTGGGAATCTTCCTACACCGAAGCTTGGCTGCAAAACGCTCCTCTCTCTGATTCTGTAACAGTTTCTGAGAAAACGCCCTGAGGAAAGAGTCTTAGAGGCCAAAATGTTCTTCCCAACACTATTTTAATCAGGAAAAACTGCAAACAACCCCCAAACCCAGGTCAATGAAATCACAGGGTGGGAGACAGTTTACGTTAATGCGCCTTGAGAAAACAGCCCGCGGCCACTCAGGAGCTGGAGTGTCCAGGCAGGAAGGTGGGAGGGGCTGCGATGGCGGCAGACATTCAAACATGCTCACTTGCACACACAGGGTTGTTAGAAATGTGTACGCTGTTCACACGTGCGCGGAAACCCCGCCAGCACTGGGCGGCTGCGCTCGGCAGCAGGATCAGAGGTGAAGCTTATTTTTGTTTTCTCAACTTCCAGCAGCTCGGCTCTGCCGCTGGACAGTTACCATGTGGTTGAACAGTAAGTGTGACGGCTCAGCTCGCAGAGGCCCCCGGACACTGCTCCCCACGCTGGGGCCAGAACTGGGCCCTTCTCTGTGGGACCCTGGGAACCTCGTGGGGTAACTGAGGGCTTTTCCTTGGGGAAGGACCATCTCTGTGTCCAGCAGCGCAGCAGTGCAGCGGGCAGCACCTCCCCCACCCCTAGGCACACACCCACCTTGCGCCCACCCTCGGGGCCTGCAGACCCCCGTGACCCAGCGCAGCCTCGGGGGGGGCCGCAGAGGGGAGCTGGCAGCCTCACACAGAAGCAGGGCGTTAGGCGGAGCCCCCTCCTCAAGACCGAGGCCGTGAGTCCTGACGGCCTTGACCGCGGCCAGCGAGGGGCTGCTCAGAGACTGGGCCGGAGGCCAGCACCAACTCTCCTCACGGACACCCACGAAACACACCTCAGGGGACCCACATGGTCCTGGCGTCTGTCTCGGTTTCCTGTTGTCGGCCTTTGCTGGGAGTGCCGGGGAAGAGGGCGGAGAGCCCGCTGAATCAAGTGCTAATCTCATCAGGAAATACCCTCAAGACACACCCACAAGTAAGCCTTAATCTGGGCACTCCACGGGCGCAGCTGACACACATTAACCATCACATACAGGGTGCCAGCCAGTAGGACGGAGGAGGCTGGGGGAGGCCTTGGCATCTGCCCTCCCTCTGGCACAGCATGGGACCCACAGAGGCTGCAGCAGTGCTCCTCTCTCTAATGTGACTCATTTGATAAAGGACTGACCTTTCACAGCCATGTAGCACCTTCAATAAAAGCCGCTCCCTGGCTGGAAATCCCCCTCAAAATCCCCTACAGGGCTCGGGAGACTGACTTCCTCTGCTAGGGACCAACTTCCTCTGCCATCGAGTCACCTGCTGGAGCTCCAGACCCGAGTGCTGGCCCTGCCCTGCAGGGGCAGCCAGGCAGGTGCCCAGGGCTGCAGGAGGGACTGCACTCTCGCAGACCCCTCCAGGCCTTGTCCTCTTGCGCCCCAACCCACCCCCGCGGGGCCTCTCGGCTCTCAGGCTCCAGCTGCCAGCACTGCGGCTCCCAGAGGCATCTGGGAACCTGTGTCCCAGGACTGAGACAGACGGGGCGGAGGGAGGAAGCCCACCCCTCACCCTGCAGGGAATCTGGAGGCAAATGCACCCTCCAGAGCCGGGGCTCCCGATCACCTGAATGCTGTCTGCTTGCCTCCCGCCCCTCACCTGTCCCGGACCTGCGTGCCCCTCCTCCACAAACCACGGACCCCGTCTCAGGGGGCTTCTCCCTGACCTGCGTGCCCCTCCTCCACAAACCACGGACCCCATCTTGGGAGGGGCTTCTGGAACATCAGGCTAGGGCAGCCAGCCAGGAGCTCAGGCTCAGAAGAAGGAACCCCGGTGGGCACAGTGGGGTCACATCCCAGCCCTAGCAGGCGGACGCAAGGGGACAGTCTGGGTGGCTCTGGGAAGAGCATGGTCATCGGCAGCACTTCTGGTCACTGGCCTGTCCAGGACTGTCCTAAGTACCCAGGGGACCAACCGATGAGGAAACGGGCAGCACATGCTTCGGGCCCTGGCTGTGGGCCCACAGCGGTCAGGGAGGGAGGAATCTGAGACCCAGGCAGCCTCTTTTTTAATTTTGTCTGAGGACCAACTCAGGAGGGTCTCTGGGATCCAGAACCCACATACCCAGAGTGCACGAGTCCTAGAGGGGGGCAACGGGCTGCTGGGCGCTGCCACAGCGTTGGGGTTGACAGGGGTCTGGAGCTGGTCTCTGCTGGCAGCTGCACGGCACTGTGACTGTCCTTGCCGCCACTGAGCTGTACATGTTAAAACAGCTAAAATGGTAACTCTTTTGTTACATGTATCTCACCACAGTTAAAAAAAAAACAATCTGTGTACCCCCTGAAACTCTCTCGACAGGGCAAGCCAGAGCCTTCACAGCCGTGCGTCCTGGGCTGTGCGGGGCCAGCGTGGGGTGAGGGCCCCCGAGGCTGTCCTGGAGGGCGGCCTCAGAGTGCCACTCGAACGAGCTCTGCTCTGTCAGGCGTGCGCCACTTCACCCAAAATGGTTAACACCTTCACCTTCAGCTTCTGCATTGACTTAAAAACAAAAAAAGATGGTCTCATAGGTTAAACTGTGTCCCCCAAAAACCCACAAGCTGAAGGCCTGACCCCAGCACCTCAGAACGTGGCTGCTTTTGCAGATGGGGTCTTTAAAGAGGTGCTAGAGGTGAAATGAGGTCACCGGGGTGGGTCCTGATCCAATCTGACTGGGGTCCTTATGAGAGATGAAGACACAGACATGTACAGACAGACAGCCACGTAAGGGCACAGGGAGAAGATGCATCTACACGGCAAGGAGAGGCCTCAGGAGGAACCAGCCCTGCCCACACGTGGATCCCAGTGAGAGAATGTGGTACTTGCTGCGGCCGCCCAAGGACACTAATCCAGATGGGGTCCTAGTTTCCCCCAAACCGTCCTGTAATCCCAGTGAGTTAATGGCATCTCCCCCAAGCCGGGAACGGGTCCCCTTGGGCTGAGAGTCCAGGTGGCCCTGCAGGAGCCCAGGGCAGGTGCTGGGATGCACCGTGTGCACAGAGCCCGCGGTGGATGCGGAGACTTCCGGCGGCACGACTCACAGAACTTCCTGTTTGGGGCCAGATCAGAAGCACCCTGAGATGCTTGATGAGAAATATTTCAGTACTTCTGCTATTTGACCTCAGCCCAAGCCAGGAAGTCCAGGCAGGCATGAAAATGAGACAGAAAATACTAAAGAGAACATCTAACAGAGTGACAAATGATCTTACTGGAAGAGAATTCCATAAATTCTTTCTGAGACCCCCGCTGCACTCCCACGCCCTCCATCCCCGGCAGGAAGCCCCTTTCCTCCTGGAGCCAAGAACTAAGCTGCTCTCAGGGTGCACAGGTCCGGGGGTGCCGGCGTGCAGAACGGGAAAGTGAGGGGCTGGCCATGGGCGTGAGCGGTGGTCTCCACGTGGGGAAACCATCAGCAGTGACTAGAGGTGGAGCTGCCAATCAGGTGAAGGACCTGGGTGCCTACTATGTACCATGAGGGCCCCACGGCCCCACATTCTTGGTGGCAAAGGCAGGGGCTGGGCCCGCACCATCAAGGGGCCTCCAGGAGACTCGAAGCAGGACATGATCTAACAGAGTGAGCACTCTCTGGGGCCCGTGAGGTGGATGTCCTCCATGGTGGCCCTAATCACCTGTCCTTCAGCCAGAGTCACAGACGACCTGAGGGCAGGGCAGGGGGCTGGGCACACAGACCACTCAGAGCAAAGACCAGCCAAGGCCCTGACCACGAAGACCCAGGAGGGCCTGGAAGTGACAGGGAGGGGCTGCAGAGAGCTTCTGGGGTCCCCCACTGCTCTCTGGTGAGAGCACTCTGTGCCTCAGTTTCTCTCCTATGAATGGGATCCTAGCGCCTACCATAAGAGACTGTGTCCCCCCAAAATTCATGTGTCGGCATCCTAAGCCCCAACAGTACCTGTGACTGTGACCGTATTTGGAAACAGGGTCTTTGCAGATGTAATCAAGTTAAAATGAGGTGAGTGGGGGGCCCTAGTCCAATCTGACTCACGTCCTTACAAAATGGGGAAACTTGCACACGGACACACACAGGGAGGGCGCCATGTGATGGCTAAGGCAGAGATCAGGTGACACACGTACAAGCCAAGGAACCCCTAGATGGCCAGCAAACAGACTGGGACACATTTTCCCTCCCAGTCTCAGAAGGAAGCAGCTCTGCCCACACCCTGGCTTTGGGCTCCCGGCCTCCAGACGGCGGGAAGAGACCTCTGCAGTCTTAAGTCTGGGGACCTTGTCACAGCAGCCCCTGGGAGCTGACACCTACTTACGGGTCTGTAGTGACAATTAAATGAGATGAAACCCAGACAGTCCCTGGCACCTGGGGCACGCCCTCGGGGCAAATGTGGGGATGTCAGCAACAGGTGACAGGGGGCTGGAAGGTTCTGGAAAACCTAAAGGATGGGGGAAGAATCTGTGCTGAGTCCCGTGGCTGACGCAGGAATAAAAGAAGAGGGGTGTCTGCTGGGCCGGAGGGCTGAGAGCGGACGCTCTCCCATCCTGCACAGCAAGCTCCAAGTTGCCCTAAAAGTCTTCAGCGGCTGCTCCTACTCAAGAGCTGATGCTGGATGGCCACTAGCAAATTAGGGACCAACGAGCCAGCGTGCATTTGCACAGAGCCTCATGTGAACTCACGACCCTCAGAACTACCCAGGGTGAAGGGTGCCAGCTGCTGCCGCGGCCACCGTGCACAGTAGCCCACAGACGGGACAAGAAGGCCCGCCACCAGCTGCAGGTGCACAGTGCTGGGGTGTCACGACTCCCGGGCCCACACTCTCGCCCCCACGCACACCGCCCCTGCACCACACCCACCCAATCCCACAGCAGATGGGCTGCGTGCCTGCGTGCTGACTTGTCCGCCCAGCTCTCCTCTGGGTAGACGTTGCCCAGAAAACAGATGTGAAATGGAGGTCTTCCCGACCAGCTGCCAACGAGGCAGGGATCCCTGGCGAGCACTGCACCCACAGACACTCGGCTGTCTGTTGGGGACTTGGGCCGCGCGGGAACTCGGAACAGTGCCCTGCAATAAGTCAGGAGCTCGCTGGGTCCCTGAGGGCTGGGCCCGGCCCATGGCACAGGAGTCAATCACTCTCACTCCCTGCCTCCAGAAGCAGCCCCAAACCTCCCCTGGGTCCCGCTGGGCAGGACCTTTCTGGCTTTGCGCTTGAGCATATCCAGCCCAAGGTCCCCACCCCTACCCCAGGCTGAGAGGTGGGGACCCACAGAGCACCCAGGGGCCACGGAAAGCTTTCCTGAGCTGGTGAGGGGGAATGCGGCAACACTGGGAGGTCAGCAACGACACGCCCCCACTCTTCACCACTCCTGCCTCCCCACCCAACGCCCACGGCCCACTGCACTTGGCCAGAGACCAGCATCTCTAAATGACTAGTTGGCTGTCGTTCTTGTGGCTGCAGTGGTTTTCTAAGAAGGTAACTCATGCTGTGAAATAATAAACAAAATTAGTTCCTGTTTATGCAATGCCTACAGACTGGCATCTACCTGACCCTAGCCTAGATGCTCACATACACACACACACGCATGCACACCCACACGCTGGATGCCTAACAGACCCACACATCTATATGTACACATGCACACAGACCTACATATACACTCACATACACACCAACAGACTTACCTACACAACCACACACACCTACACGTACTCACACACACCTACACACACACACCTTTATTCTCCATATCCAAGTCCTTGGGAGCCCCCATGAGCAGTGTCGTCACCTCCATTTCTCTGTGGCCACAGCAGTCACACAATTTGCCTGAGGTGGTGCAGCAGAAGCGCCAGCGACTGAGCAGGAATCAGGAACCAGGCCTGAACGCTGCCCATCTGACCCCTGGAGAGCCCCGTCTGTGAGGAGGTCAGCCAGAGGCACAGACCCCTCGAGTCAGGGAGTTAGGAGTGGGCAGGCTGCGGCATGGGCCCCTCGCCCAGCCTAGGGGCATGCGTCAGTTACCTCCTGCCATGTGACAAACCACCCCCAAACTTGATGGCTTAAAACAACATCATTTTATTTGCTCATGGTTCTGAGTCAGCAGCCTGGGCTGGCCTCTCCTAGGGCCACTCAGGTGCCCGCAATCATCTAGTCCTTGGGGTGGCTGACAGACTCCGCAGTCAGGGACATGTGCGGAGTGCATGCCCCAGCCCGCCACACGGAGCAGGCCCCCCAGGATTCCTGCTCGTCAGCCCTAGGGCAGCGCCGGGCTCCAGGCTCGGGGCGCGGCTGAGATACGGCAGAAACAGCACCACACTGGCGCCCCGCCTCCAACACATGCTTCGCCAACACCTCTCCAAAGCCAGTGCAGCCCCTCCCTCACTCAGGGCTGGGGGCTCCTGGAGGGCAGCAGGCGCCCCTGTGGAGAGCTGTCAAGCACTGTGGCAGCACTGGGCGGAGGCCAGGGCCCCGATGCCACGGCTGTCTGTCCTGCCTGGGTGCGGCACCAGGCGCTAAACCTTGCCCTTATTGTGGTGCAGGTTAAAGATGATCTCATGCCGAAAACCTAGAATGAGCACATCCTACTCAAACTGCAGAACACCAAGATAAAGAAAAACCCTGAAAGAGCCAGACAACAAAACACCTCAGCTACAGAGGAACAAAGATAAGAATCACATCGACTTCTCCTCAGAAACCAGGCAAGAAGAGAGGGAAGTGACATATTTAAAGTGTTGAGGGAAAAAACCCCCAACCTAGAATTCTGTATCCTGCAAAATTATCCTTCAAAAGTGAAGGAAAAACAAAGCCCTTCTCAGACAAACACAAACCCAGGCAGTTTGTTGCCAGTAGACCTGCCTTGCAAGAAATGTTGGGGGAAGTTCTTCAAAGAGACAACAACGACGGTGTAGGAAAGAAACTCAGATCTACATAGAGAAAGGAAGAGCATTAGAGAAGGAATGAGTGAAGGCAAAATAAAAAATTTACCTTTCTTACTTTTAACTGATCTAACAGATGGCAGTTTGTTCAAAATAATAGCAACAATGTAGTCAATGACTGTAGCTGGGAGATAATGAAATGAATGACAGCACTGACACAGGGATGGGAGGGAGGAATTAGGACACTCTGTTGTCATAAGGTGCTCACGTTACTCATGAAGTTGTGCAGTATGATTTGAAAGTAGACTTGGATTAGCTGTAAGTGTATATTGCAAACTCTAGGACAACTGCTAAAGAAAGTAAAAAGAAGTATAACTGATATGCTATGGATGAAGAGAAAATTAAACCATACAAAATGCCCAATTAAAACCACAAAAGGCAGAAAAAGCACGGAAGACAAAAATAGGAACAAAGACCAAGGGAAGCAACAAACGGAAATCAGTAAAAAATACGGCAGACATTAATCCAACTATGGCAATAATCACTGTGAACGCCAATGGTCTAAACGTACCAAGACACAGAGAGTCAGACCCAACTACATGTGGTCTACAAGATACCCACTTTAAATACAAAGACACATATATATACAGATTAAAAGTAAAGGATGGAGAAAGATACAGCATGCTAACATGAATGAAAAGGAAGCAGGAGTAGCTATATTAGTTTCAGACAGAGCAAATCTCAAAACAAGGAAAGTATCAGGGATAAAGAAGTGTACTAGACAATGATAAAGGGGTCAATTCTCCAAGAAGACGTAATTCTTAATGTGTATGTGCCTAACAACAGAGCGTCAAACTACGTGAGGCAAAAACTGATAAAACTGCAAGGAGAAATAGATGAATCCACTATTATAGATGGAGACTGTGACACCCTGTCTCAGAAACGGACAGATCCAGTAGACAGAAACTCAGCCAAGGACATAACGGAACTGAGCAACGACATCAATCAACTGGCTAGAACTGACAGCTATAGATTACTTCATGCAGCAACAGCAGAACACACACTCACCACAAGCTCACATGGAACACTCACCAAGACAGACCACATTCAGACAAGAACACACCTCAACAAATTTAAAAGAACACAAATCATACAATATCCGCTCTTAGCCCATAACAGAATTAAACTAGAAATCAGTAACAGGAAGATAATGGAAAATCCCTAACTACTTGGAGATTAAACAACACACTTCTAAATAACACATGGAGCACAGAAGAAATCTCAAGAGAAATTTAAAAATATTTTGAACTACGTGAAAATGAAAATACAACTTAATCAAAATTTGTGGGATGCAGCAAAAGCAGTGCTTTGAGGGAAATGTATAGCATTGGATGCAGATATTAAAAAAGAAGAATGATCTAAAATCAGTAATCTAAGCTTCCACTTTAGGAAACTAGAAAAAGAAAAGCAAATTATAAACCCAAAGCAAGCAGAAGAAAAGAAATAATAAAAATGAGAGCAGAAACCAATGGAATTGGAAACAGGAAATTAACAGAGAAAAATAATTCAGACCAAAAGTGGTGGTTCTTTGAAAAAAATCAGTAATATTGATAAGCCTCTAGCCAGACTAAGAAAAAAAGAGAGAAGACACAAATTACTAATATCACAAACGAAAGAGAGGACATCACTACAGAGCCCACAGACATTAAAAAGATAAGGAAAAGTACCAGCCCTGAGGCGTAGTGGTTAAGTTCAGTGCGTTCTACTTTGGCAGCCCAGGTTTGCAGGTTCAGATCCTGGGTGTGGACCTACACTACTCATCAGTCATGCTGTGGCAGCATCCCACATACAAAACAGAGGAAGACTGGCACAGATGTTAGCTCAGGGCTAGTCTTCCTCCAGCAAAAAAAAGAGAAGGATGGGCAACAGATGTTAGCTCAGGGCTAATCTTCCTCATCAAAAAAAAAAAAAAAAGATAATAAAGGAATACTATGAACAACTGTATGCCTACAAATTTGATAACCAGATGAAATGGACCAATTCCTTGAAAGACACAATCTGCCAAAACTCACACAAGAAGAAACAATCTGAATGGGCCCATATCTACTAAGAAATGGAATCAATAATTAAATAATCTTCCCAAACAGAAAGCATCAGGCCCAGACGGGTTCAGTGGTGAACTCTACCAGACATTTAAGGGAGAGATTACACAGTTCTCTACAGTCTCTTCCAGAAGACAAAAGCAGAAGGAGTACTTCCTAACTCATTCTATGAGGCCAGCATCACCCTAATACCAAAACCAGACAAAGACATCACAAGAAAATGAAAGTGCAAATCAGTAACTCTTATGAACATAGGTGCAAAAATCCTCAACATTTAATATTAGCAAAACCCAACATTTAAACAGAATTACACACCAAGACCAAGTGGAATTTATCCCTGGTATGCAAGGCTGGTTCAGCATTTGAAAATCAATTAATGTAATCCATCACATCAACAGGCTAAAGAAAAATCACATGATCATTTTGACAGACACAGAAAAAGCATCTGACAAATTCCAACACCAATCTATGACAAAACTTGCAGGAAAAAAGAACTCCCTCAACTTGATAAAGAACATCTATAAAAAACCTACAGCTCACAACATACTTAATGGTGAGAAACTAGACGCCTTCCTGCTTGGATCAGGAACAAGGGAAGGATGTCCCCTCTCATTATTCCTTTTCAACACTGTACTAGAAGTCCTAGTTAATGCCATAACACAAGGAAAGGAAACAAAAGGTATACAGATTTGGAGGGAAGAAATAAAACTGTCTTTGTTCACAGATGACACGATCGTCTAGGTAGAAAATCTGAAAGATTTTTTGGAACAAAAAACTTCCTGGAACTAATAAGCAATCACAGCGAGGCTGCAGGAGACAAGGCTAATATACAACTCATCACTAAGGGACAAGAACAAAGCTGGAGGACCGACACCGCTCAATTTCAAGACTTACTATACAGCTAAAGTAATCAAGAGAGTGTGATATTGGCAACAGAATACACAAACAGATCAGTGGAACAGAACAGAGAGCCAGAAACAGACCCACAGAGAGTCCACCGATTTTTGATGAATGAGCAAAAGTAATACGATGGGAAAATAGTCTTTTCAATAAATAGTACTGGAAAAACCAGACATTACATGAAAAAAATGAATCTAGTCACAGAACTTATACCCTTCACAAAAATTAACTCAAAATGGATCATAAACATAAAATGCAAAATTATAAAACTCCTAAAAGATAACAATAGAGAGAACCTAGACGACCCTGGATAGGGTGACGCCTTTTAGCTACAACACTGAAGGTACAATCCATGAAAGAAATGACTGACAAGATGGACTTCATTAAAATTAAAACTTTCCTCTCTAGAAAAGGCACTGTCAAGAGAATGAGAAGACAAGCCACAGACTGAGAAAAATAATTGAAAGAGAGATCTGAGATATCTAAAACACACAAAGAATTCTTAAAACTCAACAGAAAGAAAATGAAGAACAGATTTTAAAATGGGCAAAAGACATGAAAAGACACCTCATCAAAGAAGATGTACAGACGGCAAACAGGCACATGGAAAGATGCTCCATATCAGACGTCAGCAGGAAAATGCAGATTAAAACGACAATGAGATACCAACACACACCTTATTACACTGGCCAAAATCCAGAACACGAAACGCTGGCGAGGACGTGGAGCAACAGGAATTCTCACTCACTGCTGGTGGGAGTGCAAAGTGGTGCAGTCACTTCAAACGTTTCTTACAAAACTAAATGTATTCTTATGCAAGCCAGCAATCGTTGTCCTTGGTACTTACCCAAAGGACCTAAGAAGTTATGTCCATGCAAAAACCTGCACGTGGATATTTACAGCAGCTTTATTCATAAATGCCAAAACTTGGAATCAACCAAGATGTCCCTCAGTAGTTGAATGAATAAACTGTGGTCCATCCAGACAATGGAGTATTATTCAGCACTAAAAAGAAATGAACTACCAAAACAGGAAAAGACACAGAGGAACCTTAAGTGCATATTACTGAGTGGAAGAAGCCAGACTGAAAAGGCTGCATACTGTATGATTCCAACTATGTGACAATCTGGAAAAGGCACAACTATGGAGACAGTAAAAAGATCAGTGGTCACCAGGGTTGGGGGGAGAGGGACGAACAGGAAGAACAGAGGACTCTTAGGGCAAGGAAGCCACCCTGTATGACAGACACAGGCAGACACATGTCATTGTACGTTTGTCCACATCCACAGGACGTACAACACCCAGAGTGAACCTAATTCAAACTGCGGACGCTGGGCGATGGGGACGCGTCAACGTAGTTCATCCACCGTGACAGACGCACTGCTCTGGCAGGGGATACCGTGTATGTGTCGGGGAAGGGAGGATATGGGAACTCTGTACTTTCTGGTTAATTTTGCCAGGAACCTAAAACTGCTCTAAAAACTGAAGTCTATGTAAAACAAAAAAAGTTCTCTGAAGGGAAGTCTCGCAGGAAAAGGAAGTCGAGGAAGGGCAGGTGCCACCCAGTGAGGGTGGGTGAAGGAGGCCCTGGAGCTGGGCTGAGGGCGGGCACTGGGATGGGCCTCGGCATGCACCCCATGTCCAGCCAGCGAGTCTCAGGACTTCCAGCACCCACTGGCAAGTGCCTGCTGAGCCCACCACTCCTGGGGCTCCCGCTTGGCCCTGGGGGGACTGAGGTACGCTAACGAGGCTGGTGCGTTCTCTCCTGGAGCTCTCAGTCCATATGCAGGACAGACGACAAGCCAGTGACGTGTGTAGTTATAGACCACGAGCTCACAACAGCAGGTCAGGAGTGCAGGCAGTCCTCTGCGGGGTGATGCTGAAGCAAGGGGCAGAGGGACGAGGGAGGCTGGGCTTTCCAGATGGAGGGACAGGAGGGGTGCCAAGAGGTGCCCACGAAAGGGACCAGACAGACAGGGGAAGGTTCAGGGAAGGTGGGGTCTGGGAGAGCTTCCAAAAGATGACAACCCCCACGCCTGGTGATGCTTGTAGGGGAGGCTGCCCACCCAGGCTGGTCAACCCTGGGAGCCTGCACCCAGACCCCAGAGGACAGTCTGCAGCACCCCTGGTGGCGAGGCCTGACGCACAGGCATGCTCCCCAGCCCGGTCTCCTGGTCAAGGAGCCTCTGGGCCCCACTGCCCTGCAGCCCCACAGCTTGCTGCAGGCACCAAGTACGCCACCCCTGCCCCCTGCCGCTCCACCCTGCTGTCCTGTACTCCCTGGCTGCTCCCGCTGAGCCTCTGCACCAGCCACTTCCCTGTCTGGAACATCCTTCACACACAGCCACCTGCTTGCTCTGCCTCTCATCCTTGCTCAGATGGTGCCTTGTTGCCTCCCTGACCCTGGGTCCCACCTGGCGCCATTCACCCTCCTTCCCAGCACGTCCACGTGTCTTCCACCATCTGTCGGCTCCATGGCTCACCTGCTCACGTACCAGCCGTGCCCCCAGCCCAGGCTCTGTGAGCGCTGGGATGACGTCCGCCTGTCTCTCCCTGGCTCTGAAACAGTGCAGGGCGTGCAGTAGGCACTCAGCTCCTGTCAAACACACACCCCAGATGTGGTTCCCTGGGGCCCCTCTCTGGGCTTTCCAATGTCTCAGATCTGCTTCTAGAGCACAGGTCCTGACCCGAGTCCCAGCTCCCCCTGACAACAGGGGACAGGCAGGGACGGCCTCCCAGGGCCGCCGCGGGGTGAAATGGGCAGATCCAGTGCCGATGGGCTCCGGGCCATGGAAGCCCTGGGGAGGCCGTTACCCTATTTCATCACTGCATTGGGATTATAGGAAGGAGGTACGGCACCCACCAGGGGCCGCTCTGAACTGGGCAACCAGATAATTCATCCGGAAAAGGCAGAGGACGGACAAAGGGGAAGCACATGCAAGGAGCTGCATGAGCACTATGTGATCACATCAACATTTCTGGGGGGTTTCTCCTAAGATCTCCCTTCCCTCACTGGTCACCTGTCCTCAGCCAGTTCACTGCAGGTGAGGCAGAGGTGACAGAGGTGACATCCAGCCAGCCTGTCGTTTCCCGAGTGTGGGCTCCATTTCCCGGGCTCTTACGTTCCACGGTGTCTGAGCTCACCCAAGCCGGGGGTAAAGCCCCGAGTGGGGGAGGGGGAGTCCAGGAGGTGCGGACGGCTGCTCCTGCACAGGGACCAGTTCCCGAGGGTGGCCTGGCTGCACGGTGATTGCTCAAGGACCACCGCACCCCACTCTGCTCTGCAGCACATGTGCCGGCATTTCCAGAAAAGATAAACCA